CAGGAAGGACGTTCTGCACATGCTCAGAGGCACGCGCGAAGCCTCCCCCTTTCAAGGTGGGGGGCAGGAGAATTTTTTTTTAAAGGGGGGTTTTTCGGGTAGGTTTGAGGACATGCCTCGCCCCCTCCTCCCGTTTTCCCAGCCGCCCACCATCCCACCCCCTTTCCCCTCTCTCCGCCCGGCCCCTCCTCCGTGATGCCGCGTTTGGTACCTGCGGGGGCGGGGCGGCCTCCTCGCAAAGCAGGCAGGAGCGGCTTCCCTTGCACCCGCAGGCCTCGGGCCCGGCTGAGGAGGAGGCGGCGGCGGCGGCAGCAGAGGGGTAGGCCACGGCGACTCTTCGTCCTCCGCCCCTCACAGCTTCCATCCCGCCTCGCCGACCTTTCTTCTTTCCCCCACCCCTCAAGCGTCTTCCGCTTCCCCGAGCGAGCGCCGACGGAGGCGGCCGCGACGAAAGAGGAGGCCCCCTTCCCGCCTCAGAGGTGAGAGGAGGCGTCGTCGCTGCCTGCCGGGCAAAGCCCGTCTTGGGCTGGGGAGGAAGGAAGGGAGGGAAGCGCGGGGAGAGAGAGGGAAGCCGAGTCGCCCCCTCGTCCTGCCCGGTCTTGTCGGCCCTCCTTTCATAGGCCCAACCGCTTGACTGACTCGATCTTCCAGAGGGGGGAAAAGGAATTGGTAGTGAGGCGAAGGACTCGCTCTCCCAGCAGCGCGCGGCCGAGCTTGCCCGTAGGAAAAGCGTTCTCGGGGCCGCGCGGGGCATGGCGGGAGTTGTAGTGGCGGCTTGGGCCGCGTTTTTAAAGATGCCGTTACTTAAAATATAAACCCTCCGCCCTGGTTCTCCTCCGCTCCCTCAGCGCGTGTGGCTCGCCGCTTTCTTTCTTCCGGAGAGATCGGGGTGGGGGATGCTTGGGGGGTGCTTATTTTTTTATTATTAAAAAAACCAACCAGTTTCTAGGGGGCAGACGGGGGGGGGGGGGACAATAATCCAGTCAGTCGACCCCCTCCCGAAAATCCCATCCTCGCCCGTCCATCTTCGTTTGCAACAACAGAATCCCCACAATAAGACGGGGAGGCCAGGCAGCTCCCTCTTTGACCCTTTGAGCCCCCCATTTTCCCGCCCATTTTCTCCTTTCAAAGGTTCAACCCCCTCCTCCCCAATTTCCAGGCAAAACGCGATCCTTGGTTTTATAGTCTCTCCCTTTCCTGCACAACCCCCCCTCCCAAAAGCATCCTCAAATCGTGTGGTTGTAAAGGGGTATGTGCATAGCGCAAATAACCGGACATGTGTGTTGGGCGGGAAGTTAAAGGGAATAATAAGACAATCAGCCTCGTCCTCAGTTACCCTTTCAGCAAGAAAGGATTTTGGGCAAGCAAGATCTAAATTCACAGCATGGGGGGAGATCCATTTTCTTTTCCACCTGATAAGGTGGTCTGAAAGGTTTCCTTTATGTTTGGAAAGAGGTGTGCAACTATTGTAAATAAATACCCCCCCCCCAACACAATATCCAGTTAAGGGGTGTAACAAGGCATCATCCTTGGCCCCTGAAAGCCAGACAGGTCCCCCATTCCTCACAAGGATGCTTTTCCTGCTCAGTCTTTTTTCAGGGCTTCTCCCCTTAAAGATTTATTTTATGTTGTATAAATGCACTGTAAATATTATGCAACAGACATTTGTTAGGGGTAGAATAGTAAGGCATCTGCCTACCTCCAAAAAGTCAAATGGGTACCCCCATCGGAATCCCCCTGCCTCCTGAAGTAGATTAAAATTCAAAACACCAAAGAGCTTTTCCCTTGAGCATGCACTGTCATTGAATTTAGCTACAGATTTTTAACTGCAAGGTTTAGCTTTGAAGCCACCATAAAGAAGAGAGTGCCTCTGTGCTTGTGCAAAGTATGGCTTTAGGTGGCTGAAATGCCCCATATGACATACGCTAGGAGGAGGAAAACATCTCTCCGGCTGTTAGGCAGAAAAAGACACACGGAGTTTCAAGCAAACCCCAGAATACAACTAGTGAGGCAACGCTGGATGGATGTGTGCAACCACCTCAACAGATGGATCATTTAGGTTCACTGGAGCCTAGATGTGATTCGACTGTGTGAGTGCATCTTCCTTGTCGCATCAAGACACATGTATGTGCTTTTAGAGGCTGTCAGTCAGATCCCTGAACCTATTTACTTGATATTAAATTCTGCTGACTTCAGCAGGCTTTACTTATTTCACAGTATTTATATGCTGCATTTCTTGTGTAGGTCAAACAGCTTACAGATTTGCCCATAGGCCAGACGTGTGTATAAACTGCTGTCAAGTCATAGCTGACTTATGGCGACGACCCCAGCAAAGGACTTTCAAGACAAGCGAGAAGAAGAGCTGGTTTGCCATTGTCTTCCTTGGTGGTATCCCTTCCAACTACTGATCCTGCTTAGTTTACAAGATCTGACAAGATCGGGCTATACCATGCTGCCCTCTCCCATAAGCCAGATAGCATCTTTAAAAATAATACCAATCAAATCCACACTATAATATCAGGTCAAATCAGCCTTTATTGGCATATATCAGTCAATCAAAGTAATTATAAAAATATACACTATAATATCATTAGGCTTTCAAAGAAAGCAACATTAGGTTCATCACCTGTCAGAAATCCCCCCCCCCCCAAAAAAAAGAAGAGCTCTTAGGAAAAAACTTTCCATTCTGGTGCTTTCTAGACAATGTCTGGTTATTCATTCCATGAAATGGGCAGCAAATAAAAAAGCCTGGGAGACTGACAGGGAATGCCCCCTACCAAGAGTGAGTGGAGTTGGAGACCAAAGGGAGCCTAGTTGGCACAGATATCCTCTAAGGAGCCTAGTTGGCACAGATATTGATGACAGAGGTTGATACGGAGAAGAGCACACAGTCAGATAGATAGAGATAAGAGAGAGAGAGAGAGAAAGTGCTCCCAGGTCACATAGCAAGCAATGTGGAATGAACTTGGAAATAAATAGGTTGTCTGCAAGGGCCATCCCAATTACAGCATGTTTTAGTGATCAAGTCTAGAAGTTGCAGTAATATGGATCAGAGTGAGGTCAGCACAGTCCAGAAGGAGAGTTTTCAAAACTGGTCTAGGTGAGACAAAGCCCTCCTAACTTCTGTACACATATGTTTTGAATGTCAACTATATTCAGTAATCAGGAACTAAACAGCATTGTGGAAATGAGTCTGTGCACTGCATCTTTGAAATACGACTTAAACCAGGTACGCATAACCATTTGTGCAAGAAAATGTTTTGCAGCAACTGGGCAAGTTCAAATAACCAGTGGTTTTAAAATTTTCTCTCTTCAAGGAGTCCTTTTCAAGTTGATTTTCTTGCTAAAAATTCTGAAGATCATTTTAAGGTGGGATGATGACCTGTCACATTGGCCTCACTGTTGCTTCCAAGGATTGGGAATACACTCTTGGGCCCTTTATGTACGGGTGTTTTGTCTCGCTTTCACTGTGCATGTCTGTTGGGTTTTCCTTTTCATTCTGCATTTCGTTTCTTCCCTTCAGGGTTCAGTATGCTTTCTGTTTGCTGTTTCCCCAGGTTTTGTGAGAGTGGTTTTGTAGCAGTTTTTCCTTTGCTTCGCTTCCAAGCCAAAGGTAAGTCAGGAGCATACAGATTCCCTCAGATTCCCTGTCCCCACTCCTCAAAAGCCACTCCCCTGCCTACATTTAAAAAAATCAATTTGCATGAGTCTAGCAATAGGAGACCATCGGTAGTCTCATGCCACTTGTAAAAAAGAAAAGAAAAGACTCCCAGCTGGGCTGCCCACTCTTGCCTCCTGGTTTGAACCGGGTGGGCATGAGAAGGCAGCGCCAAGGTGTGCCTGCCAGGAGTCATTGGCTCCCTGCAGGCACTGTGAGCCTGGTTGGGCTGTCCTCTCATGCTGCCCAGTTCAACCCGAGCAACATGAGAAGGCAGTGCAGAGCTTGGTGTATTTATTCTGGACTGCAGAATAAATACACCAGAGAAAATGGTATGTACTGCAGGCACAGAATCTGAAGTCAAGCTTAAAGGTTTGACTGCTTGGATTCTCTGCAGTAAGCTGTGTGTGCCTCAACTTACCCCAGCATGTCTCTGTGACACTGTTGGTACAAAGTGACACTGTTGGTACAAAGTAACACTGTTGGTACAAAGTGACACTGTTAATAGTTAAAACAGCCAAGTTTTCAAGCAGATGATCCATTATTACCCATCATCTCATTGAAGCATCAAGGAACTTTGCAATCCCTTGAAAACATTTCCTAAAATAAGGGATAACTGCTTTAAAGAGCTCAAGCCCCTAACTAAAGGTTGCAACCCTGTGTGTGCCTATTTGGGAATCAGCCCCTGAGCTAATAATTAGGATATACTTCCCAGCCAATGTGCATAAGATTGTGTATGAATGTTTTGTATTGCAAAGTTGGCACTGTAGACAAGTTCAGTTATAATGGAACAATCTTTCTACACGTGTTTTAATGAGAAATAAATTCTATTTATTTAGATATGTATACCCGCTTTTTAAAAATTATTTAGATTTTGACTTTTTGTTGAATGATTTCCAGGGTGGTTTTTGTTGTTGTTGTTCAGTCGCACAGTCGAGTCCGACTCTTCGCGACCCCATGGACCAGATCCCGCCAGGCCCTCCTGTCTTCCGCTGTCCTCTGAAGTTTGCTCAATTTCATGTTCGTTGCATCTATGACAGTGTCTAACCATCTCATCCTTTGCCGTCCCCGTCTTCTTTGACCTTCAATCTTTCCCAGCATCAGGGTCTTCTCCAGTGAGTGCTCCCTTCTCATTTGGTGGCCAAAGTATTTGAGCTTCAGTTTCATTATCTGGCCTTCCAGGGAACAGTCAGGGTTGATTTCTTTTAGGATTGACTGATTTGATCTTCTTGCAGTCCAAGGGACTCTCAAGAGTCTTCTCCAGCACCATAGTTCAAAAGAATCTATTCTTCGGCACTCGGCCTTCCTTATAGTCCAACTCTCGCAGCCATACATGACTACTGGGAATACCATTGCTTTGACCATGCGGACTTTTGTTGGCATGGAGATGTCTCTAATTTTTATCATGCTGTTTAGGTTCGCCATCGCTTTCCTCCCAAGGAGCAGGCGTCTTTTAATTTCATGACTGCTGTCACAGTCTGCGGTGATCTGGGATCCCAGGAACGTGAAGTCTGTCACTACTTCCACAGCTTCCCCTTCTATTTGCCAAGGAGTGATGGGGCCGGATGCCATGATCTTAGTTTTTTTGATGTTGAGCTTCAAGCCCACTTTTGCGCTCTCCTCTTTTACCCTGAGCAAGAGGCTCTTTAGGTCCTCTTCACTTTCTGCCATTAGAGTGGTATCATCTGCATATCTGAGGTTGTTGATCTTTTCCCCAGCAATCTTAATTCCCGCTTGTGATTCATCCAGGCCAGCATTTCGCATGATGTACTCTGCATATATATTAAATAAGCAAGGTGACAGTATACATCCTTGTCGTACTCCTTTTCCTATGCTGAACCAATCAGTTGTTCCATATCCGGTTCTAACTGTCGCTTCTTGGCCCTTATACAGGTTTCTCAAGAGACATGTGAGGTGGTCTGGTACTCCCATCTCTTTAAGGACCTGCCATAGTTTGTTGTGATCCACACAGTCAAAGGCTTTAGCATAGTCAATGAAGCAGAAGTAGATATTTTTCTGGTACTCTCTTGCTTTCTCCATAATCCAGCGAATGTTGGCAATTTGATCTCTAGTTCCTCTACCTCTTCGAAACCCAGCTTGTACTTCTGGCAGTTCTCTATCCACGTACTGTTGAAGCCTAGCTTGTAGGATCTTGAGCATGACCTTGCTAGCGTGTGATATGAGTGCAATTGTGCAATAGTTTGAATATTGCCCTTCTTTGGGATTGGAATGTATACTGACCTTTTCCAATCCTGTGGCCACTGTTGCGTTTTCCAAATTTGCTGGCAAATTGAGTGCAGCACTAACAGTATCATCTTTTAAGACTTTGAATAGCTCAGCTGGAATACCATCACCTCCACTAGCTTTGTTGTTAGTAATGTTTTCTAAGGCCCATTTAACTTCACATTCCAGGATGTCTGGCTCGAGGTCAGTGATTATACCGTCGTGGTTGTCAAGGACATCGAGGTCTTTCTTGTATAGTTCTTCTGTGTATTCTTGCCATCTTTTCCTAATCTCTTCTGCTTCTGTTAGGTCCCTACCGTTTTTGTCCTTTATCATGGCCAGCTTTGCCTGGAACGCTCCCTTGATTTCTCCAACTTTCTTGAAGAGATCTCTAGTCCTTCCCATTCTATTGTTTTCCTCTATTACTTTGCACTGTTCATTCAGGAAGGCCTCCTTATCTCTCCTTGCTGTTCTCTGAAAATCTGCATTCAGTTGGGTAAATCTTTCCTTTTCGCCTTTGCCTTTCGCTTTCCTTCTTTCCTCTGTGGTTTAGCATAGACTAAAAACAACACAAATGTTGTTTTCACAGTAGGTTGATAAATAATGAAAAAACAAATTAGCATAAAGTTCTGATACCCCAACAGGGCCTAGATGGTTAATGCCAAAGATCTTGAGTTGACCTGTAGGTAAGGAAGGCAATCTAGTCAGATGAAAGTTCTTTAAAAATAAATCTGAAATGAAGAGAACAACCCCCCAGTGGGAGTGGATAAACCCAATAATAGCCATTGACTGGGCTGTAATCTCCTCAGCTGACAAAAAACAGTGGCTAACCTTTTGGTTCAATACAATTCAAGCAATGCTACTTCTTTCCCAGAAACAGAAGCAGTAAAGTAAATCTGCAGCACTTTACACATAGTACGGAAGCAATTTTTTGACTAGGGTCTTCCAGACATATGAAATGTACCATCCGTGTAATACTGAACTTTCCTTTTCTTGATATTTTTCACTTAGATGGTCTAATAGAGAATGCAGCCATGCCCAAAATAATAGCTTTTTGCTTAAGCTGCTGAGAGTTCTGCCTGAAAATATAACTTAATCCTTGTGATAATTAAACTGTTACATTTCAGTGGTGATTCTTCTGCTGTCTCTTGGATGTACATTTCAGTGGCGATTCTTCTGCTGTCTCTTGGATGTCTGGGAGAAGACAAATTCCAGTGTGGCAGCTATCTTAAGTCTATTGCAGCAGAGCAAAAGAAGAGCATGGTGGCATCTTAAAGATTATTGAGTGTATTGTAGCATAAAGTTTTGTGGGTTTGAGCCCAATGTCTGGCACGTAGTGGAGCGAATCCTGATTCAGGAGAATTTTTAAGGCACAGAGAGTGGGAAACCATTGCGAACAATGGTTTAAAAGACTGGTTTGTGAGATCTCTGCGCAAAAATGAAAAGTACACAGATAAACACAGTGATTGTTCACAGATTGCAGAAGAATTTTGAAGGCCAGGAGTTTGGCAAGATGAACTGTGTTCAAGCAATATCAAATGTATAGGCTACAAACTAAATCTCTATTTGGGACACTTAGATGATCTTCTTAATATCTGTTTATTTTGCTAGGAAGGTTTTGGAAAGATATTGGACAGCTCTGGCTGAGCAGAAAACTGGAAGAGATTAAAAATGTCCAAAATAACCACAGAACTTCTGTTGGAAAGAGCAGTGCCCAAGTCCACAAGGCTGAGGAAGATCAAAATTCTGAAGTAAGTTCAGTCAGACATCCACAAAATCCCAGATCTTGCTTTGCGAAGAAAAAAAAAAGCCTCATGGTGTTTAAACAATCACAGTTTTGCAAAACTTTCTCAGTAAGTTCTGTTGCAGTTCCCAGCATGATGCATAGTTAAGACACAAGGCTGGAAAAATTAAGTTGCCAAAAATAAAGAAAATGCAAGATCGAGAAAATATTTAAATTATATTGCCAAAAATAAATACAAAACCCAAAAGCATTTTCAAATAATGCATTCTTTTGTTAGTTTGTTCAGCCAAACTATTGCTCAGTGTAGTGAAGCTTTTAACTGTTTTAGGCTTAACACAGCTTTTATAATATCTTCAGTATTCATTTTTAAGCTTGGTTGTTTTTGTAAGCTGCCTTGAGCACTTTTAAAATGGCAGAAAATGGAATATAAATTAATCCATAATTTGTTCAGGGGCTGCCACCACTGAATAACAACAGATACAATTTTTTATTGCAGGGTTTTGAAAACATTAAGCAAATACTAGAAAGAAGAAGGAAATGAAATTTTACCCTGTCCGCTAAGGAGTGAACAGAAGTCAATAATTAACATGACAGACATATTAATATCACACTTTAGATCTACTGGGATTAACTCTGGTATTGAAAGAGGCTGGTGGCAGCTTTGTCTCAGTGAACCCAGCCAATGAATGAAGCTGTCTGGTTGACTCTGGAGTAGTTCCATCTCCAAGGGCCTATTTATAATTTTGGGTTCTCTTACTGTAGTTAATATATGAGCTACACCAGAGGTTCCCAACCTTTTTTACCCTGTAAGCACCTTTGGAATTCTGACATGACACGGTGGGCACAGCAGCCACCAAGTGGCTGCTGCAGGAGGCAGAGCCAGCCACAAAATGACTGCCATAGCTTTACTTCAGTCATACAGTGAAGATCCTTGTGGTGTGGTGGCAGCTGTTTCCAAGGCAACATTTAAAAAAACCTGCACAGCCAATCAAATTTCCAAGAGCTATTCCGACCCTTGCTGGACAAAAACCCTACCTGGCCCCACCCATTTTCTGAAAACACTTGGCAGGTACCAGAAAAGGTGTTGGTGGGCGTCATAGCACCCACCACGGGCACCACGTTGGAGACTCCCAGACCACACCATTGTTCCATGCAGCTCAGCACTGTTAACTTCAAATGGCAAAAGCTTTCCAGGATCTGAGGCACGCAGAGGTCTTTTGTAGCCCTGCTGCCTGAGACACTTTAACGGCAAATTCCAGGGATTGAACCTGGACCTTCTGTATGCAAAGCACATATCCTGTCACTAAACCACAAATGCTACAGCCTCCCTTGCCTCCCCAGACAGGATTTGAACTAGTGGCCACTGCATGAGAAAGTTGCTACAAGCATCATCAATTCTGCTGCTAAACGGGGGAGGCGGGCAAGGCTTGGTGGGATGGGGTTAGGTGGCACATTGAACAGAATAAGTTTTCAGTGGAAATTTTTATTTCCAGCCTGTCCAGATTGCAGATAACAACAGAAGATTTGGAACCACAGTTATTTTCGCATCTGCGCCACCTTCAAGAACTGGACCTGTCCGACAATCTGCTAGAGCGGCTTCCTGACAACCTAAGCCTGCCGAACCTCCGCATCCTCAATTGCAACAACAACCAGCTTGAAGATGTGACTGCCCTGCAGCAGTTCCCACAGCTGCAAGAACTAAGCTATCTGAACAATGTATACCTGACAGTGAGTATAATAACTGGCAATCTGCAGGAGTCTATCAGTTTATGGGATTAGGTTGTCTTGCAGTCACGATCGCAAAGCTTTGTTCGTCTGTTACGGTGAAATAAAACACAAGTCCAATGGTACTTTAAAGACCAAGAACCTTTATTTCAGTGTGAGCTTTTATTTATTTATTTATTTAAAACAGGTGCTTTCTACCTTAAAGGATTCAGAGAGGCTTGTAATAATAGATAAAATACATAACGTAGAATACAAAAAACATTTCAGAAATTTAAATCATAATTTAGAACTGCCAGTAAACGAATCAAATGCGGTCCTAAATAAACCCACCTTCAGCTGCCTTCTGAAGATCAAAAGTGAGGGGGGCCAGACGCACCTCCCTGGGAAAGTTGTTCCATGATCACAGGGCTGCCACTGAAAAGGCTCTCTGTGATGTAATCACCAGACAAGCTTCTTCAGTCAATGAAACAGTCGAGAGGGCCTCTCCCTGTAAAATTAATTCCGGGCAGGAACATATGGGAGAAGACTGTCCTTCAGACACCCTGTGTTCCAAGCCATGAAGGAAGGGCTTTAAAGTTCAAAACCAACACCTTGAATTGGGCTCAGGAGTGGAATGGTAGCCAGTGTAGTGTCAGGGTCACATCCTTCTGATAGGTGTCCCCAACCAGCAGTCTAGTAGCAGAGTTCCGCTTTAGCTGCAGCCTCCAAACACTCTTCAAGGGGTAGTGCCAAGAAGACCGCATTGCAGTAGTTTAGTCTAGATATAACTAAGGCATGGGTCACTGTGGCTAAATCTGACTGAGCCAGGAACAGATGCAGCTGATGCACCAGCCGAAACTGGGCAAAAGCCCTCTGAACCACCACAGCCACCTGATTTTCTAAGGTGACTGTTGTGTCAAGTAGCACTCCCAGGCTGCTAGAATGTTGTTCCCTGGGACTATGATGTAAAAGCCCCTGAATGCCATGAGACATCTCAGCTGGATGATTACATGCAGATGCAATGGGGGTAGAGAAACACTGCCTTTTTGTCGTCATCACCACCATGAAACAGGCTCTAGTATTGGCTCTGTGTTGTGTTCCAGCAGTCTTGCCTCAAGGTTTCCACCACCAGTGCCCTGGTTGTCTTCCCTCCCATTTCATCGCCATCAGTTTTTCAGTAAATCAGGGAGACTGCTTGGCTCTGTCTTGGGGGGAGATGGTGCTTGGAAGTGATTGTGTCAGTGGCCCGGGCCATTTCCCTATTCCAGAGAGTGGTCAGGCCCTCAACAGAATTGTCAGCAGTCAAGGTGGGGAAATCCCTAAGAGCCGATACAAAACCATTGGGATCCATCAGGTGCCTGGGGTGGATCATCTTCATTGGTCCACCATCCCTGTGGAAGGGTAGGGTGGAAGGAGAAAGCCACAGGTCTAAACTCTATCAGGGAGTAAGCTTTAACTCCCCCACCTCCAGATCACCCTCTCCCATCTGTATAATAGACCAGACCCAGACTATGTCGTGCTAAATGCATGGGTCCAGTAATTACTTGGAACAGGCCCATGGTTGACATGGAGGTTATGAAGTCTTGAGCCACTCCTGACAGTTTGGCCTAGGAATGGATATTAAAAGTCACCCAGGAGCACCAGTCTTGGGTTCTACAGCAGCACGCCTGAGACCAGCCCAGCTAGCTCAGGAAGATAGATGGTTGGGCAGTGGGGTGGGCAGTACATCAGCAAAAGCACTACCCGGTTTTGGTCACACACATTCAGAACCTCCAGACTCACAGCTCACTTCAGATACACAGTCATGGCCTGCATTAATGTCTCCTAAATTTCCGAGGCATACATGTTTTCTGAATTAATCAGATCTGAATACAGACAGTGCTCTTACATCAAAAAGGCTATCGGTATTTATTAAGCACAAGCAAAGCCACTGTACAGAAAGTTTAAAACATACAGTTTGCCTCAAACATTTATGATCTAATTAATACAAAGTATTAGAAAGCAAGAAATTGCAAGTAGATAAATTGGTACCACTTCAGTGGGAAGGTAACAGCTTTCCGTGCACCTTGGTGTTTAGTCATGCCGGCCACATGACCACAGAAATGTCTTTGGACAGCGCTGGCTCTTCGGCTTTGAAACGGAGATGAGAACCGCAATCCTAGAGTCGGATTCGACTGGCTTTCGAGCAAGGGAACCTTTACCTTTATATTATATCAAAGTTAACTGAAGTCTATTAATTTCTTTCCAGAAATGCCCTCATGTGTTCAAGGGTTCAAAGAGAAGCATTGCAGAGATCAGTAAAGTTTTAGAACATGAACGAGTAAGGGTTGCCTGCCCTCAGAGGAGCTAACCTTTGTGTTTCTGCATGTTCTGAGCATGCCTCCTGATTGGACAGAAGCAAACCCAGAGCAGTAACTCCTGCATAGACACAGTAGATAGCCTCCTCTGACACCTGATGCAGGGATGTGACAGAATGATTTACCTCTAGTGGGTGATGATTGGAAAGAGGCAGGCCAAAGCATTAAAAGATGCAGAGATTCAGAGAACAGTCTTCTCTGGACAGGTGCTTTAAGCTCAAAGGAGGCACTCATTAGTTACATGAGCACCTTATTGTGGTCCACAGTTTGAGTTAGAGAGAGTTTGGATGGGATTCCCCTTGGTCCTAAATGAAGGCAAGGGCATTTTCATTGATCTGACAGTACCCCAAAGTTTATGGAACTAATATTCCAGTTAATCAGCTTTAATTTTGGAATCCATTCATGGGCTTATTCAGTAGATATTTTGCCCTTGCAATTGTACCAAGGGATCTGGGCTTAAGAAGGTTTGTATTGGCATACTCCCTCCTATGGTGTTTCGCCACCTATCTCTAGTGGAGAAAAGAAGGACTGAAATAGGCAGTCCTATGTTTATTTGAACTTGGGTTCTCCTCCTCCCTGCAAGATAAAAACTCATTGTACCATGTTGGCTCTCAGGCTGTTCTGAATGACTCAGGTCAGGCCCGATTCAGATACAGGTATGCGCTTAAGAAGCTCTAGGTGTCTAGTTAGCTTTCCTATATCAGATCATTTAACTTGTTGCTTATGTTTTAGGTTTGTTAAGGTCTCTGTTTTCATTTTATGGAAATATAAAACATAACTGTTGCATTCTTAACACTGACTAGATCAACAGAAAACTGTACCATCCATTGTTGTTACATTGATATTTAAAGGAGAGCAATTATGTAAATTCATAAAAGTATCTTAACCCAAAGATAAGCAGGTCACAAGCAAGGAGCCCCTTCTGAGAAGAAGCTCTTGATCAATTCAGCTTTCCATATTTATATATTTAAGATCATCTCCTAACAATAGGAGCCAGTTTCGTGTGGGGAGCCAGTTTGGTGTAGTGGCTAGGAGCGTGGACTCTAATCTGGGAGAACCAGGTTTGATTCCCCTCTCATTCACATGCAGCTGCTGGTGTGACCTTGGGTTAGTCACAGTTCTCTCAGAGCTGTTCTGGAAAGAGCTCATTCATCCCTTACCTACCTCACAGGGTGTCTGTCAGGGGGAGGGGGAGGGAAAGGAGATTGTAAGCCGCTCAGACTCCTTTAGGTAGTGAAGGGCGGGGTATAAATCCAATCTCTTCCTCCTACTCCTTGTCCCAAGTGATAAAGGTGCACATTTTTGGCTAAGTAAACTTCAAACACCATACATGGTTATCTGTGCTTGAAATATCTTCTTAGAATATGTAACAACTGTTAGTTCATTCTTGCTCCTTTTTACCTTAACATTGCAAACAACCATTAGGGTAAACAACCATTTAGGGTAAGTCATCAGAGCCAGTGACTACTGAGACAAATGGTAATTGGGATAAATAATAAGGCAAGCATTTGCTAGGTCAGACAATTACCGCCTTCCAAAGTCCTTCGGCCATCCCAGGTTTTGCCTGGTGGTCTTGTCTCCTTGTGCCTTGAGTCATGTCCCATATCGTACCTTAGTTTGATCATTCTCATACCCTGCATGGCAAACATGACAGATAAGCATGGTGTAATCCTGAGCAGAGTTATAGGTTGTCCTTTTGCTAGGATTTCACTGATAGTCAACAACCTTCTTGCTGTTGGAAACTCTCCTCTCATCCAGTCCAAAAATCCCGTATTCCTTTTAAGAAATTAGTTCAATTCGTTCTTGGCAAATGCCCCTCTTCTTGGCAGATTCCACCCTTTTGCTAAAACCAATCTTGGTCTCCATCCATTGACGTCTCCTCCAACTAGGTTTCTCCTGGACTTGTTTACAACGCATATTAGTTTTGTAACTATCTAGAGACTTTCCACTTGGTACACTATTCTTGTCTGCTTGACCAGTCTTTCCCCACAAAATGTGAGCTGCCCTGAGCCCACTTGTGAGATAGGGTGGGATATAAACTTAATTAATTAACTAAATAAGGTCTAGCCCTTATGCTAGAAATAGAGTGAAAAAGCAGAAGGGCAGCAAGCCAAAAACTGAGACAGGTTAAAGAGTCTTCTTCTTCACACAAAGGCTTGCTACAGGCGGTGCCTTGAAAAGATATATGAAGGTCGTGGATCTTATAGAATGTAACAGAAGATTTGATACTTGGCTTAGAAAGGCTTAAAAAGCAGATTCTCAAGGCTGTTTCCTTTTTTTTTCTGCCTCCCCTCTCCAGGCTAGCGATGACTATAAGGTCATGTTTCTTCTGCAGAATCTCCGACTGCTGAATGGCAAGGATGTCACCAAGCTGGCCAATCATGTGAGGGTGGTCAACAGTCGTGAGCTGACCAGCAGGGTAAACTGCGCTGATGCCTCTTTCATATACCCATTTATGGTGCAATACGGCATTAGAGCCAAAGTTATGGCTTTTACCCTCTATTTTTTGCTCTTGGAACTTCACTGTAAGGGGTATACATAAACGGTGCATATATTAAGTGAATGCTGATGTTCATTTAAGCGTTTTCTATGTCTGTAGCCAGCTTGGATTAACAGTGAAGAAAAATACGGGCACAACTGTATGTGATGGGCCACCATTGCCCCTTTTGTTTGCATTTTAAAAAATTGAAAGTTTTTTGTTTTTTTTAATGACAGTTTAGGTTATAACGAAAAGTCCATGATAAGGACCTAACAGTTCTGCAGAGTCACAGGGATGAGTACTCTGCACCCTGTGTTGGCCTGATGCCATTGTTAACAATTCCTGGTCCCTCTGCTTCCACTGTTTATCCGTCCCCAGGTCCTGTTTCAGTACTACATCTTCCTCCAGCTCTGTTTTCAAACTGTACTGTGGAGTGCTTCCCAGCAGGTGTTTAAAACAGTGCTTAAAGCATAAAGCTGGGTGTTAGGATCCATGCTGAAGGAGCATCTATAATCCCAAATGGGGGTTGGCTGTGTTGTTGTAAAGCTGTAGGAGGCTTGTAAAGGTGCTAATTGCCAGAGAGCTTCCAGGGGGTCTTGTTTGTTTTGTTTTCATTTTATTGTATAAAATCTTTAATTGCTTTCACATTAGCACTGCACAAAGGAGTGTGCCTCTGAGACAATTAATATGTGTTTGGGGATTTGCATGAGCAAGACTCTAGTCCTGTAATATATGCCGCATTAGGCACATCTCCCTGATTTACTGGATTCCACTTTTGACAACCAGAGGAACTGGTTCCCCAATATCCAGTCATTATCCAGTTATAGCCAATTTGCATGCCTGTTTTTATATGGTGGGATGTTTTCTTAATTATTTTGGAAGTGCCCATTGTGATACCCATGTTCTCAAAGGGAGGTGCTTAAAATAATAACAATAACATAATTTAAACAGGATTTCATGAGCAACCAGACCAAAACTGATAAGCAGAATTGTAAAAAACCCTTAATAATCTAATCAGGGGGAAAAAAATGGCCATCACCCTTATATGAGAGGAGACCACCAATGTTTCATCTGTGGCTTATCTCAGGGAACAGAAAGGAACACCTGGGAGAAGGTACCCCATCAAATATTCCAGGCCAAGTATACAAAGACATTTAAAGTAAAGCATTGGCACCTTGGATTTAGCCCAGAAACATATTGATAACCAATGGAACACCATATTTTACACTCCCTACAGCTAACACCAGAAATCAATTTGGAGTCTGTGTTCTGGTGTATTGTAGCATCCAAACTGCCCTCAAGGATAGCTCTATGTAGACTGCATTACAGTAGTGTAGTCCAAATGCAAAGTTACTTCGGCATGTACCACAAAGGGAACGTCCTCCTATTCCAATAAAATGGCAGAATTGGTGAATTGGCCAAAACTGATAAGACATGCTGTTTGCTGCCTCAACCTGGGCACCAGGAGGAAACCAAGAGCACCATTAATTTATAGACATGAGCTTATAAGGAAGAGTATTCCTACTGCCCTTAGTACAACATATGTACTGTATCGTTTATCGCAGGAATGGTATGATTATGTGCAAAGAAGTATTCTGAACCTGAGGGCAGTGTCCGTGCATTGATGCAAGCCACTGGGCAGTACAACTGGGCACTACAACAAAATAAATACTTACTCAACACTGATCACCATCGACTAGGTGCTGCTGAGAGCACAGAACACTCTCTCTCACACACACAGACATACACACACACACACAAATTTATGGACGGGAGAGAGACATCTAGATGAAGAAGTTATAATTGGGAAGGGGAGAAGTGGCAATGAAGAGACAGGCAGAGTGAGGCTGGGATGATTCATCAGTGGGTTTTGAGTGAATAGAGACATAGTGATAGTTCTGGACTTAGAAGTCAGCATCTCTTATTACCTGACATCACAGTATGTTCTAAAAAGATTATGTGCATTACAAAGACAAATAGGGCATTGTAACAATATTCACATTGAAGATATTGCCAGAGTGAAGGGTTTTGCTCCAACACAACTGCCTGGTTAATATGTCATAGTGTTTGTTTGTTTTTTAAACTTTCCTGTAAAAATGAGCTGGCGACTGCTTGATGGTTTGTGTTTTGCTGCAGTATTGTAGAAATGTTGTTATAATGTACTGAGTATCTGTTCTTGCAGCGTGTGGCGTATAAAAACAATTATATCATAAAAACATCTGAACTTCCCTTTTAGTTGTTAGTTTATCTGTAGTGGTGTTGTGTTCTATTTAGTGCTGCAACATTTAATCATTTGCATTAATTGATGGGAAATACTTGTGATTTAGTAAAATAAACCTCTGTTTTATAGGGCAGCAGTTTTCAAATATATTGAAACTTATATGTATGAGTAATTCTAAAAACTGCAGTTAGCAAGAGCAGTTTGGGAAGAGGTATTCTTTTCTGAGATAGGAGGAACACCTCTTCTAAGATGATGCTGTGACACACATGTAATGCAGCAACAGCTTCAGAACTGTTTTCTTAATGATGTGCAGTTTTCATCGGATTGGCTGATTTGATTGTTTGAACTCTTGCTGGGAATTTGAGCATGGTGAACTGGTCTTTTGAACACCCCTATTCACCCATGGATAAGTTTCCATGATCAGACCCATCCTAGTTCGTGTGCCACCTAGCCTGCTCACATTAATGTGCAGAGAATCGCACATGTCTAATCCTTTTTAGTATCTGGCATTTTCAGCACAGTATACATTGTAAAGTCAGCACAGCAGATTATCCAGGGTTTTATTTTCAGATGAGTTCAATGTGGTTTTCCCTTTGTCCAGGTCACTGCTCACTGGGGGAAAAACTTCCGTAACCAGCTACCTAAAACTCCTGAGCAGCTAAAATCGACCAAGAAAAAATTTGTCAAGTCTGCACAAACCAATGTCGCATATGGACCCAGCTCACTCAGCGACTTTACCCGATGGCGGGTAAGTTCATTCCCATACACTTTTTGCAGCCCTTTGAATGCAGGGTCTAAATACCTGGCACAGAGTCTCTGTTTATTTAATTTAGATTTTCTCCCCACTCAAAAGTGAGTCATAATAGATCTTCATCCAGCAGAGCAGAGAAGTATTTATTGGGGGAAAAGAGAAGTCAGCCCAAATTCAGCTTAATTATGTGGAATTTCGCATAAGTCAGACTTAGTATGAGTCCAGTGGCATCCTTAAGACCAGCAAAGTTTAATTCTGGGTATAAGCTTTTGTGTGCATGCACACTTCTTCAGATGACATTGAAACAGACTTCCTCAAGCCTTGCTTGTGAGGGGGGTTAAGTTGCCAAGAAGGGCTAGTAGAGTCAAGTTGCATAAGTAGCTGAGTGATAAGTATAGCTAAGATTGGATTGAAGCAGTTGGTAAAACCTGTGAATAGCAGCAGATTAGCATACAGATAATAAAAGAGTTAACAAACAGATGTGAGAACTAAGTTTGAGTCCACTGACACCTTTAAGACCAACAAAGTTTAATTCTGGGTATAAGTGAGAACTGAGTGACTTACCATGTGTAGTGAGATAAGAACCCGATATCTCTGTTAAGCTCTGGGGGTTCCATTGTCTGGAGTATTGTAATAACTTGTAAAGCAGTAATCTCCTGTTCCAGTCTGCTTCTGAAATTCCTTTGCAATAAAACAGCAACTTTGAGGTCCCCCACTGAGTGCCTTGGGATGTTGAAATGTTCTCCTACAAGTTTCTTAATTTTGTGATTCTTTAATGTGTGTTTTACTCTGTTTGATCTTAAATTATGTTGTTATTTTATCAATTATTAAGTGAACCCACAGTCTTTCAATCCTTTTTTTAATTGATGGGAATTATTTACTTTTCCACTGTGCTGCAGTTTGCATTTTTGCAGAAGATCAATTTGCACTCTCAGAATGGAATCTATTTTTTCTAAAAATGCAGAATAATTATTGCAGGGTTTGATACTTTTTAACTGATGAGGCAGTCTATGTGTTGGAGACCTCTGCTTGAGTACCTCTGGACATTAGCAGAGCATCCTCAAAGACAAAAGAAATTATCCTCCATTTAAGAACATAAGAGAAGCCAATGTTGGATCAGGCCAATGGCCCATCCAGTCCAACACTCTGTCACAGTGGCCAAAAATACCAGGTGCCATCAGGAGGTCCAGCAATGGGGACAGGACACTAGGAGCCCTCCCACTGTTGCCCCCCCCCCCCACCACCAAGAATACAGAGCATCACTTGCCCCAGCCTGAGAATTCCTATCTATACCTTGTGGCTAATAGCCACCGATGGACCTCTGCTCCATATGCTTAAGCTTATCTAATTCCCTCTTGAAGCCATCCATGCTTGTAGCCGCCGCCACCTCCTGTGGCAGTGAATTCCATGCGTTAATCATTCTTTGGGTGAAGAAGTACTTCTTTTTATCTGTTCTAACCTGACCGCTCAGCAATTTCATGGAGTGCCCACGAGTTCTTGTATTGTGAGAAAGGGAGAAAAGTACCTCTTTCTCTACCTGCTCTATCCCATGCATAATCTTATAAACCTCTGCAGGCTTTTTCCTATACCTGTTTGTGCCTTTCCTAACCTGCGGAATATATATTTTTTGAGCTTCTAGGATCGTAGTTTTAAATAGATCCCAAGCTTCCCCAATTGTTTTGACCCTTTCTACTTTTCCTTTCAGTTTCCTCCCCACGTGTCCCCTCATATCAGAGAAATTACCCCTTTTAAAGTTAAAAATGGTTGTGTGAGTCTTTTTGGCCAATTCTCTATTTGTACAAATGATGAACTCAACAACATTATGATCACTGTTTCCAAGCGGTGCAATCACTTTTACATCTCTCACCAGGTCTTGAGTGTTACTTAGGACCAAATCAAGGATCGCCTCTCCCCTGGTAGGTTCCGTGACCATCTGCTCCATAGCACAGTCATTTAGAGTGTCTAGAAACTCAATCTCTTTTTCCCGGCTAGAACACATATTGACCCAATCAATGTGTGGGTAGTTAAAATCACCTATTATTACACAGTGTTTTTGTCTAGTTGCTATCTTTAAGGCATTCATCATTTTATAATCCTCCTCTATCTTTTGATCTGGTGGGCGATAACAAACTCCCAGTGTTAAGTTTCCTTTTGGCCCCCCTATTTCAACCCATAGAACTTCCAGAAGCGAATCCAATTCACTTAGCCTCTCAATCTTTCTAGACTTTATACCCTCTCTGACATACAGAGCTACCCCACCTCCAACCCTTCCCCCCCTATCCTTCCGATATAATATATAACCGGGAATCACTGTGTCCCACTGATTTTCCTCATCCCACCAAGTTTCAGAAATACCCACAATGTCTATTTTTCCCTCCCTCACCAAGCACTCCAACTCCCCGATTTTACCTCGGACACTTCTAGCATTTGTATAGAAACAGCTGTAATTTCCCTTACAAGTTAAGCCTGCATCCTTCCTCTTGCTATCTCGAGTCGTTGTCCGGCAGTCCATGTCACCAGCCATGGCCTCTGTGGACAATTTCAATCCACCTCCCTGTAGAAAAGCAACAGGTACCCCCTCATCTCTCTGAGATGAGCCAACCCGAACCAGAGACTTTTCATCTCCTGTCGGCTTTCCCCCAATATTCAGTTTAAAAACTGCTCTGCCACCTTTTTGATTTTAAGCGCCAGCAGCCTGGTTCCTTCTCGGGACAAGTGGAGACAAGTCTCTTTTGTACAGCTCCCTCTTGTTCCAAAAAGCATCCCAGTGCCTAACAAACTTGAACCCTTCCCCCCATTACCATCGTCTCATCCACGCATTGAGACTCCTGATCTTTGTCTGTCTCTCCGGCCCTGTGCGTGGAACAGATAGCACTTCTGAGAAGGCTCCCTTGGAGGTCCTGGCCTTGAGTTTCCTGCCCAGCAGCCTAAATTTCTCCTCCAGGACCTCACAACTGCATTTCCCCACCTTGTTGGTGCCGACATGCACCACGACCACTGGCTCCTCCCCAGCACTATCTACCAGCCTATCTAAAACACATGTAACGTCTGCTACCTTCGCACCAGGCAGGCAAGTCACCATACGGTCACTACGCGGGTTCGCCACCCAGCTGTCTACCTGCCTAAGGATTGAATCACCAACTACCAAGAGCCCCCCTCCCACCCAGCCCAGGGATGGTTCCTTGGTACGAAAGGATACCCGTTCACCAGCTGAAGAAGAGGTCCCTTCTGAGGGCACCTTTCCCTTATCCTCAGCATGGTGCCCTGTTTCCCCTTGACTCTCATGCTCCCTGACAGCAGCGGTGCTGCCTGATCCAGAGTGGGACATATCTAACAAGTCCCCGAGAGTCTTCTCTGTGCACCTAACTGACTGTCTCTGCTTCTCCGGGTCAGCCACCTTGACCTCAAGGGAGCAAACTTGTTCCATGAGAACCAGGAGCTCCTTGCACCAAGCAATACCCAAGACTTCTGTCCAGTGGGCAGATAGTCATACACCTCCAGCACAAACTTGAGTTGGTAGGTGAACACCAGTGGAGCTGGTGTGAAGTGTCATCAGACAATTATTTTGAACAAGCTTGCTTTAGTATTAATGCTTCTTAAATTTAAGGGACATGAACGATTGCCATATCTTCTCCTAGTTGTTCCCCTAAATCCTGTTCCTGAGTCTTCATGCAGTTTGCTTTTCTTTCCAGTAGTACATGGTATAAGGCAGAGATGGCTCTTTGATATGGGCAGTTCTATTTAACATTAGATTTTCAAAGGCAGCCAGCTCCACTCTCAATAGTTTCTGGAGAAGTAAGGACTGACATAGGTGTACACCTTGCAAATAATCACATCACTGACCATATGAATCTCTCATTTTTGTTGCAATGTCAGTGCTTTTGGGGGGTATTTTTCACTTTTGTGTGCCCGTGCGCATTTGTGTGCCTGTGCCTGGAAGTCATGGCAACCTCTGGTGACTCCTACTGGGACACGGAGGACATTCAGAGAAATGGCTTGATAGCCTGCCTTTGGCCTCCCGACCCTGGCATTCTCTGGAGGCCTTCCATCCAAATACTTGCCAGGGCCTGCCTTACTTAGCTTCCGAGATCTAACGAAATTGGGCTTGCCTGGGCTATCCAGGTCAGGGCGAAATGTCAGCTTTTGACAATATTTTCCTGTTATGTATAACATAACAAAGTCAAGAATATTATATTTATGCCAGTGTGAAAATATATGGGGTTTGAGTGCTAGCCCTAAAATAAGGGTAATATAAAGGTGGACGCTAATAAGGTGTCTGGGATTAAATGCATTCTCTAATGCTCCCACACTTGGATTGTGGCTAAAACTACAAAGAATACATGACTTCTTTGAAAGTCAGTTCCACTACCCTTTGTTTTGGCAATACTTACTTTTAAAGTAAAAGTTTCCCATCCTGTGCAGTGATATGTTTTACCTATTAAGTTTAACAGGCTTATGAACACAATGATTTGCATATGATCACATTACCAGCATGTTTCTGATTGCAGGTGAAATCTGTTTGCATTATTAAGGCTACAGTTTGTTAAAGAGAAGTCCTTCTGCTATTTTAACTGACTCACAGATCAGTCAGCTCAACTGTGATACCACAGGGAGTGGTATCAACAGGGCTGCCAGCTCTGGGTTGGGAAATACCTGGATATTTTGGGGGTGGAGCCTGGGGAGAGTGGGGTTTGGGGAGGGGAGGACCTCAGCTGGGTACAGTGCCATAGACTCCACCCTCCAAAGCAGCCATTTTCTCTAAGGGAACTGATCTCTGTAGTCTGGAGATCAATTGTGAAACTGGGAGATATCCAGATCCCACTTGGAGGTTGGCAACCCTAGGTATCAATAATCACAAAAAGCAGTTGGAAGGAAAATGTACAGGGAAGGTGGTGGGGGACTTCTGGTTTCCATGTTAAATTCACAAGCCAAATGATCAACAAACTCACGGTTTAAAGGCTGATCATACTAATATTAAGCATACTCATTTGATAGTTTCAGGTGGTAGCCGTGTTGGTCTGAAGCAAGAGAACAAAGTTTGAGTCCAGTGGCACCTTTAAAACCAACACAGTTTAATTCGGGGTATAAGCTTTTGTGTTCATGCACACTTCTTCAGATACATTGAAACCAACTTCCTCAAGCCTTATATATAGATGGGGGGGGGGGTTAGTCGCCAGGTAGGGCTAGTTAAGATGCATAAGTAACTGGGCAATAAGTACAGCTGACATTGGATTAAAGCAGTCGGTAAGACCTGTGAACAGCAGCAAATCACCATACAAATAAACTAGTTAATAAACAGATGTGAGAACTAAGTTTGAGTCCACTGGCACCTTTAAGACCAACAAAGGTTAATTCTGAGTATAAGCAAGAACTGGGTGACTTTGTTTCAGTGTGTCTGAAGAAATGTGCATGCATGTGAAAGCTTATACCCAGAATTAAACTGTGTTGGTCTTAAAGGTGCCACTGGACTCAAACTTTGCCCTAGTACATATAGTGGCAGCACCATGCAAGTTACTGTACAGAATGATGCAGATCCCATACCTACAGAGATTTGCTGTTTCTCTTAGACAGGCATGCTGCATAGTGTTCTGTGTTAGTTGAAAGCTTACATACTTTTATCAACAGAGCTTATCCAAAGCAATATATACTCCTATCTCTTTTGTTTATTCTCTGGCACCAAGTGGTTGTGTCAGTGAAAACACACCAATGACCCCCCCCATTAATTTACCTTGGCAAAGAGAAATAAGGCCGCTGAAAAAAAAGAGTTCTTGGTAGTCAATATGGCTGTGGGCTAATATAAGGCATCCATGGCATCTCATTAGTGTTTTTTATGCTAGAACATGGGATGGAGACAGCACTGGTCGCCCTCACAGACAACCTTCAGAGGCATCTGGATCAAGGTGGATCAGTGGTGCTGTTGTGGATCTATTGGCAACGTTCGACACAGTTGACCACCAGCTACTGATCCACTGCCTTGCCGATACCGGAGTTTAGGGGCTCGCTTTACAATGGCTTGCTTCCTTTCTCCAGGGTCGGGGACAAAGGGTGGCACTAGGGTAACAGCTGTCCTGAAGGCACCCACTGATTTGTGGAGTGCCCCAAGGGGCAGTACTTTCCCCAATGTGATTTAACTTCTATATGCACCCCCTTGCCCAGATTGCCCAGAGGCATGGGTTTGGGTGTCACTAATATGCGGATGACACCCAGTTCTATCTGTTGTTGGGCGGGCGGTCTGACTCTACACCGGAAGATCTGGACCAGGCGTTCCAAGCTGTGGCTGGTTGGCCTAGACTGAGTTGATTGAAATTGAATCCAACAAAGACGGAGGTCCTGTGCCTGAGTCAAGGCAGTCCGGGGGTAGGGATCCCACCTCCGACCTTCGATGGGGCTCTGTTGGTGCCAGCACCGGAAGTTAGGAGTTTGGGAGTGCTCTTGGATGCCTCCTTGACAATGGAGGCCCAGGTAGCAGCCATTGCCAAATCAGCCTTTTATCATCTTCAGCTGATAGGGCAGTTGGTTCCCTTCCTTGAATGCAGCGACTTGGCAACAGTGATCCACGCAATGGTCACCTCGAGATTGGACTACCGTAACACTCTTTACATTGGGGCTGCTCCTGTCTCTAGTCCAGAAGCTGCAGCTAATGCAGAATGCTGCAGCCAGGCTGCTGATGGGTATCCCCATGTGGGAGCACATCCAGCCAGTACTGAAAGCACTGCACTGGCTACCAATAGCATACCGGATTCATTTCAAGGTGCTGGTTTTAACCTTTAAAGCCCTATATGGTCAGGGTCCTGCATACCCGAGGGACCGCCTTTTCCCACATGTTCCCTGGAGAGCACTGCATTCAGGGGCGCAATACCGGTTGGCTCTTCCAGGCCCCAGGGATGTCAGGCTGGCTGCAACTAGGGCCATGGTCTTCTCGGTGGCGGCTCCAGTCCGGTGGAATGAGCTCCTGGAAGAGATCAGGCCCGTGTGGGATCTGTTACAGTTCCGCAGGGCCTGTAAGACAGAGTTCTTCCCTCAGGCGTTCGACTAGGAGCCGCACCATACACTGAGGAGTGTCCCTGGGGCCTGGTTTGCCATCTTTGCTGCCAGCCTGTGCCCTGGGACTTACCATCGTGTCCTCAGCCATACTTGCCATATACCAGTGAGAACAGAGGTCTCACAGAGTGGGTCTCCAGTTGAATGCCTCAGTAATCAGGTAGGTCGTTCATCTAGGAGTTGACAGCCCTTCAAGCACACTGGCCCCAGACCTTACAGGACTTATTTTCATAACCAGCATCTCAATATAAATCCCATGGCGAAGGTGAATATGGGCTCTGTGTTTTATAAAACTTTAACCCACGAAGGGCTTAGAAGGAGAAGGAATGAGGAAATATGGTTTGGATGGATAGAAGGGGGGGGGTAACTGTACATTTTGCCTTGCTGTTCTTTTTGTAGGTTTCCCCACTTATATTCCACAATGAGAAATAAGCAAAAGGCAGTCTCTTGGAAGCAAGCATAAATCCTGTTAATTGGATGCATATTCAGAAATGGCCTCATAATTATATAGCAAAAATTGTCAGGAGATGAGTTAACAGAAAGTTTCTCACCTCTGAAAAGTTCTGTGCCCCGCACCCCAGAAATTTCTGTGGAGAATATAGTTCACAGACTTTGAATCCATGGTAAAATAGCTCTTATTTTTCTGAGATGTGACTGACAAGTTGATAGAACAACTTTTGACTTAATGGCTCAAGAAAACCCAGAAACAAATGTAGGAAAGCGAATTAGGGATCGAACTTTGTGTAAGTCAAATCAAAGTATATTATGCAGTTGTCATTTCTGTCAGTACTAATGTGAAGAGCTGTTTCTTTACAGTTGTGTATGGTTGTTACCTGACTCTTGGAGGGGGGGGGGGGTGGCCATAAAATGACAATTGTAGATTTTGGAGATGTAAATCATAAAGACCAGACTTGTGGACCTTTAGAGCGGAAGTAACAAGGGATAACAAAAAGTAGTTTCAGAATTTCAATCCAGTCATTTTACTTTATAGTTGGATTGCTTAAATGAGTTCATAAAATTGGAACCCTTGAAAACTGGCTCTGTCTTGCTAAGCTCCGCTAAATGTGAAATCACTTATTAGCCAAAATCCTCTCTGATTTTTCAGCCTGAAATCATCAGTATGCATTTCTTTAAACTAACTGACAGTCCAAGCAGAAAATAATCCTGCCTTTTATGAGTCTACTGTTTCAAAGGCAGGAACATTGCAGGCTGGGACAGATGCATTCTTACCAATCCCTCTGATAAGTATTGTACATTATTTCTTGGCTGCCCCCATATTTTTCATTCAAATGTAACCAGTCCCTATTCTCCCATTAGGTGAAAATGATTGCAGAGGAATTCTTGACCTCACTGGTAAATCAAGAAGATAACCCTGCTCCTGAAGCAGGAGTAGAAGAGGAGGAAGAGGAAGAAGAAAAAGAGGAGGAGGAGGAGGAGGAAGAAGAAGAAGAAGAAGAAAAAGACAAAATTGCAGAAAGTATGGCGGAGATGGAAAATAAAGCTGCTTCTAAGGTCAGGACTCTGTAAATGTACCACTGAACCCACAGAAATACACCTTTCCTCTTCTCAGTGTTTTATTTTATTCAGGCTTGTCTTGGTGAAGCTCAGGGCCCCTGTTTAAGCACTTGGGGAGAGACCAGAGCCTTGCATACAGAGTGGCCAGGTTCAGTTCACATCATAGCTGGGGAAGACTTCTGCTGTAAAGTTCTTCCCATTCAAAATAGACAGTACAGGGCAAAACAAACCAGTGGTGGAGCCCAGTACAGGCCAGTTTCATACTCCAGCATGGTGTAATGGTTAGCGTGTTGGACTAGGATTTGGTGTCAAAGAGAGCATCAACAGTGGCCCCATCATTAGCCTCCTGTATTCCTCCAGATATTTGGATGTCATACTTCCAAAAAATGTATGAGGAGCCCCCATATGAGAAATCCATACAACCTCTTTCTGAACATCCAATAGGAGAATTGGAAAAATGGGCTCCTGTAACTGCTCAGGAGATAAAAGCATACATAGGATACCTGAAAAACGCTAAAGCACCCGGATTAGATGGAATTCCTCTTGAATTACTCAAGGCAGATAAAAACTGGTGGGGAACTCTATTGGCTTCCCTGTTCCCCTTTATTGATGAAACAGGGCTCATCCCCAAAGATTGGGGTATGGCAACTGTGGTCCCCTTTTATAAGAAGGGCAAAAAAGAGGATCCGCCAAATTACAGACCAATCAGCCTTCTAAGTATCACAAGCAAGTTATATGCCAAACATTTGCTTACTAAATTTATAGATTGGCTTGAACAGGAGGAGATTTTAGTGGAAGAGTAAGCTGGCTTTAGAACTGGTTGGTCCACACTCGACCATATTCTGACGCTGCAACATCTTATAGAAAAATATGGAGCTAGAGGACAAGTGTCACTCTATGCAGCATTTGTTGACCTGAAAGCGGCCTTCGACACAGTTTCCAGAGCTAGGCTTTGGGAAAGATTACAGACTTTGACAATTAACAAACGTTTGCTGTACCTTATCCGGGCTATTCATGAGCAAACTGCTCTCAGAGTGAGGTGTAGTCGGTTAAGGCACCTGTCAGACCCCATCCCAACGTCAGGCAGGGTTGCCTTTTAGCCCCCACGTTGTTTCTCTTTTACATTAATAACCTGGTAAGTTTAATGAAAGACCCGTTTTCATCCCCCCAAACTAGCAGATCAGTACATCAAAGTGCTACCGCACGCAGATGATGCCATTATTCTCTCCAGAACTCCTATAGGGCTGAAACGGGTTCTGAAAAAATTCTCCCTTTATTGTGAAATTGAACATCTTAAAATTAACCATCAGAAAACAAAGGTCCTGGCCTTTGGGGAAAATACAAGGTCCAGGTGTTGGGAGCTTCAAGGACATAAGCTGGAACAAGTATTCAGCTTTAAATATCTGGGAGTAATGGTGCAGGCTTCTGGTGCCAATAAAATTCACAACAGCAGCGCTGCCAATGTGGGAGAGAAATCGGCAAATAGTATTCTGAACCTCTACCGGACACAGGGGGGCTAAAATATCCCGGCTGCACTTCGCTTGTTCACAGCCAAGGTGTTGGCCCAGTTAACCTACGGAACATTTCTGGGGTCTTCAGCTTCCTCCCTCTCTCCACTCGAGAGGGTTCAATCAAAATTCCTTAGAGCACTAATTCAGATACCCAAGTGTCTATCAAACTCCTGGGTTCGCTTGGAAACAGGAATGACCTGGGTAGAAGCTATTCTTTCTGTATATAAATGGATAACGGGCAGTATTAATCCAAAGGGGCTGTTCCCTCTCATCCTGCATGACTAATTTCAGAACAGTTGGCTACAGGCGGTCCAAATGTCCATTGAAAAGCTGCCCCCCCCCCCTAAATCTTGGCACAGATCGGGCAAAATCGCTTATTAAGCAGAGAGTGCTAGATTCAGAGAGGCAAGCAGACATTTGCAGTTCACCAAATTATTTTTCTCCAGCAAACAGTAGATCTGTGGTTGCTAGCTGCCATGTTTCATTCATATATGTCCTTTCCTGACTGTGGCACCACGGCGCATGCTTGCTCGTTTGCTTTGCTTGCTTGCTGTAAACAGCTATAGGGAGGCGCTCCTGAGACCATGCAAACTGGCGCTGCCAGACTGGGTTATCTGACTAACCTTGAGGAAGAGGGAGGGCTTGCGTTCCACCATTGGTGTGAATCTTTCTGCCCTCATGAGGCAAGGAGACTCTCCCGTTCATTATGTAACCTTCCGCCGGGAGAATTCCCGCCCGCGCGCTTGGATTTCATTTGCTTAGCCATTTGCAGCATCACGCTATATGAAGGGATGCATCCGCCCCATTGTCATTCCTAACAATATACCTGTAGATCATGTCAACAGACCTGTAGTCTAATAAAGTATAGCGATCCCCTGGAAACATGTCTGGAGATTTACTTGCTGTTCAACCTGACACTACGGCCTATTTATATTTTCTTGAATCTTACAATACCAGAAGGGCCTTCACCCTAGCAAGGAGCATGGCCCTGCCGTCTGCAGTAATAGAGGGAGAGTACAAAGGGATCCCTTATGCACTCAGGCTCTGCACTTGTTCCTGGACTGAAATAGACTCTCTGGAGCATATCTTTTTAAATTGCTCTTACCATACGGTGAGCCGAAAGGAAATCATTGGCTTGCTGCTGGAAAGGTTCCCAGGAAGATCAAACAAAATTAAATTAGAATACCCGGTGTCAGATAGGAATCATCATACATCAAGACAGGTGGCTATGTTCTGCACCCAGGTATATAAGGAATGCAAAAAGCGAGGCAAATAGACCATATCTCTACCTTTTAACAAAAATCGTTTTAAACTAACTTTTTAAATGGTTTAAAAGGTTTGAACAGTAGTTTTACTTATTTCCTTTATATCTATATATCTAATAGTGAAAGGTGCCCCCTGCATGCGGATACCTAAATCCGCACATCGAGGGCACCTGGGGGGGGAGGGAGATTTTCGTGCACACTTGGGGCAGTCCCCAGGTGTGCACAAAAATCTGAAAAGGGGGAAAAATATTGGGGGGATATTTAAATCCTCCAAAAAGTAACAGAGCGTCCCCTGCGCATGCGCAGGGAACGCTCTGTGAACTGCCTCGCCGCCGCCACAGGGGATGGGAGCGCAGCAGAAGGCTTGGCTGGGTGGCGGGCAGGCGGGGACCAGCGAGGCCCGGCGGCTACAAGCCACTCGGGCCTCGCTGCTCTCTTCCCCCCCCCAGTTCCAAAGCGGCGGCAGCGGAGTTCGTAGAGCGTTCCCTGCGCATGCGCAGGGGATGCTCTGTCACTTTTGGGGGGATTTAAGTATCCCCCAAATATTTTTTTTGGGTT